TGTCGATTGCCAGAGCTCATAGATTGGAGAGCAGCCTGTGCCAGAGAGGTTGTCTCTAAAAATAGCTGGGTGTTGTGACAGGAACCTGTAGTCCCAGCTACATGGGAGGCTGAGGCAAGATAATCACTTAAGCTTGTCAAGAGTTGGAGATTGCTGTGAGCTGTGACGCCATGGCACTCTACCGAGGACAACAAAGTGAGACTGCCTCAAAAAGTAAATTGCTAAATTAAAATCCCTAAATGGTTAGGGAAGTAGGAGGAAAGAAATTAGATCCACCGCCCAAAATTCTTACTGGATAGGCTGTTATAATTGAAAACAGTACTTGATTTTGAGATTCTTAACTGTTTTTAAAAACATGAATATGAAATTCATTGATTGGAAGGAAGTGTACTACCTCCCGTTAGTACTACCTACTTTCCCATTTGGAAAAGCATACTTTTTTCTTGGCATTCAACCTTGTGAGAAGTTTGTGATGTGGAACTTATGGGTTATTAATTAATATAACAAACAGATGCTTTCCATTAGCAGTTAAAAAAACTAGTTAATCCTCAATGAGTACAAAAAGCCAAAGTTAAAACTCTGTAAAAGCTGTTCTATAGAGGGACTTCTTTGACATGTAATGGATCAGTGGCACTCACACTTCAGTAGGCATCATAATCACTGGAGGTTTTGTAAAACACCGATTGCTGAGTCCATTCTCACAATTCAGTAGGTCTCGGGTGGAACCTGAGAGTGTACAGGTCTGGCAAGATACCAGTCATGTTGATGTTGTTCTGTTCCAGGGACGACGCTTTGGAGACCCATCATTCTGTTTACTATCCATTGATCAGACTTAATCATAGGACAGAGTTAATGAGGTATTAGTTATCTAACAAATAATTTAAAGATCGCTAAGAAATTTTCACTTTTTTAATTGTTTTAATTTTTTTTTTTTTTTTTTGGAGAAAGCTTTTATTCTGTCACTTAGGTTGGGTGCAGTGGTGCAGTTACAGCTTTACTGCAGCTGCACATTTTTGAGCCTCTCCTACATCCGCTTCCTGAGTAGCTAGGACTACATGTGCACCTACCACAACCAGTCTTTTTTTTTTTTTTTTGCAGTTTTTGGCCGGGTCCGGGTTTGAACCTATCATCTCCCGTATATGGGGCTGGCACCCTACTCCTTTGAACCACAGGCACTGCCCTAGCTAATATTTTTTGCAGTTTTTGGCCGGGGCTGGGTTTGAACCCGCCATCTGCGGTATATGGGGCTGGTGCCCTACTCCTTTGAGCCACAGGCAACACCCAGTCTTTTTTTTTTCTTAAGAGATGAGGTCTTGCTATGTTGCTCAATCCAGAAGATTTTAGAGAGTAGGTATTCTATAATGTGGATGAAAGGAAATTTTTACTTTTATCTTTATTTTTTTTAGAAATAGGATCTCACTCTGTCTCCCAGACTGAATGAAAGGAAACTTTCATGCTGTAAATGACAGGCTTTTCGATTGCAAAGATGATGGTTCAAGAATTGGGTTATGATGGCTTACAGAGGTATATGGCTATTGCTTTTCAAGGAAAAACACCATTGACTCTCCAGAGTTCCTTACTATAAAGCATGAAGAAGAGAAAGCCTAACGTAGAATATTTTGCAGGCAAAAATTACTAAACTCTCAACTCCTAAACTTCAGGAGTTTTTCAGCATCTAATTTTTGTACAGAACTATTTTACCAACTAAATTATTCCATTAAGAAATTTAGAAAATGGGCAACCCAGAAAACTCATTGAGTTATGTGATGTTATACATCTCAATATTGAAGTGTGACCTCTGAACATGAGAGCTTATGTTAGCCTTTGTTACTTTGGCAATAGTGTTGAGATTACTCCAACAATGTGAAAAGTTATATCATCAATAAATTGAACTATTTTTCCTTTAGTTACGGTTCCTGGAAATGTTTTAGGGAAGCAGTGTGCCTTGTTTTCTGTGGAGTCATTCTCAATCCTGGAATTCAGGCCTTCTGTAATTATTGTGTCAGCAGGAGGCTGCATTGACTACCTGGAATGGTTCTTGGTGGCCAAAGCTCATGTGTCAGTCACTGTACAACTTCAAAAGGAGGGGCTTGTATATTAGCATGCCAGATATCTCTTTGTCAGGGAGAAGTGAAGACAAAGATGTTATTGTGTATGCTGGTAACTCAGACTTAGCCCTCTGACATTAACCAGAATTGGGGTTGCTGGCTGAATTTTTCTCCACCAAAACTACATTGTTAAAAAGTATACTGAACAATAAGCCTAAAGTTTTAGATGTCAGAGGATTTGTTTTCTAAAATGGAAGTATCTTAGAAGCAATATGTAAGTGCTGAAAGAAACTTTGTACTTACCCGTTTATGGTATGTTATATCAGTAAATAATTTTTATTCCTCGCGTGTATTTCTGAGTGCCCTTCTCGGTCAGAGATCTGGAAAGAGAAGCTGTTAATTAAGCTCGTTTCCATGTGTATATCTAGAATGATACCACCTGTGTACCCTGGGAGCACTGAGAAAATATTCATTTTTCTGACACCCATGCAAAACACCCAGATACCCTGTTGAAATAGGCTGTCCCAAAGAATCTTTAGTATTAGAGAAAACACCGTCATTTCAGAATTTAAATTCAGCTCTTTCACTATCAGCCAACATCATAGTTGGGACTCTCAGCTGAGATAGAGAAAAGCTAATCTATTCTTCTTAGATCAAGCGCTCAAAAAAGGAAAAAAAAAAAAACAAGGGTGTAATCTGCCCCCACCAGAACTAGATATTAATCAGTGGAAAAAATACCTTAGCTAGACTGTACTACAATGCAAGAATCTTAACATGATCAAGCATTCAGAGTCCACAACCAACTCACAAAGATAGGACAGGATTTCCTGCGAAGTGTTGAGAGGTGCTTAGGCATAAAGGGAAATTCGTTGGAAAGGTTTTGCAGATCATTCATTTGTCTAGTGAATATTAATTTACATGCCTAATGTTGTATAC